ATACGCATGTGGGACATGAGAGTCAAAGCTCCGCCCAATCAAAAGTTATGGACAAGGTTAAAGTTTTTTGCGGACAAACAGACAAACAGCTAGACAAACAGACGGACGGACAGGGCAAATATTATATACCAGAATCTTAGAATTTTTTTAATTTGATATATATCTAGCCTTATTATGATATCAAAAATTTAAGAGTTCCAGTCAAATGAGTATTGTGGCTAATGTTTTATTTTATATCAAATTTATTAGTCTAGCGTATGTTCATATTAAATATAATAGATATATAGAGAGAGAGAGAGAGAGAAAGAGAGAATTTTCATGGTAGAGAAAAATCATAATTCTACTTTTTCCCAAAGAAAAATGCCATGCTTTAAGTCACATATCGACCCCTTCATCCACTGAACTTATCACAGAAAGGATTAAATAAAAAAGGAACGAAATTATGCAATCATTTCTATAAGGCCTTTTTCCCTATTATAACATTTACGAGAACTGTTGGGAAGAAAACAACCCCTAAAAATCTTTAAAACATCAATATCTCAGATCCTGAAGTGACATCATCACTGAAAAAGTATTAAACCAGGTTCAAATAATTATTTATCATACCTAAAATTTGCAAGAATATTGAACAAGCCGTGCACATTTTTTTTTTCAAAGTGTGTTAAAATGGTCGATATTAACGCACTTTGAAAAAAAAGTAAAATTTTTCAAAGTGCGTTAACGTGGTCCCAAAATTAACGCACTTTGAAATTTTTTTTCAAAGTGCGTAATTTTTCAAAGTGCGTTGTAACATACCATACCTTGTCCTTTGCCACGTTAACCTCTGCTCTCCAAAATATTTGGATATTTTATTAGAAAAAGACGTTAGCGGTAATCTTACAACGAAACTTTATGATAAACTTGATGACTTTAACTTTTCAATCGTTAACTTCCCTTAACTATGCAGCAATATACCCTTATCACTTGCATAGTTACGGAGTTTATATCTCTAATTTGATTCGATACGCAAGAGCATGTTCTACGCATGAACAATTTCTTAAACGAGATAAGTTATTGACAAACAATTTGATGAAACAAGAATATCAGCAGTCTCGTTTAAAGTCATCATTTCGTAAGTTCTATGGTCGATACAATGACTTTTCAGCAAATACTATCTATCATTAAGTCAAATGCTGACTGATTTTTTTCTTACTAATTGTTCGGCTATTATTTACACACTGAATTATCGACGGATTTTCCCGTTATTTCCCGGTACATAGAACTTCTTTTACAATTATATATTTAGAATAAATCCAAATTGCATCCATTCTTATATTGCATACTTGTCTCTTCAGTTCCCATTGGACATGTTTGATGATTGTAGAACGTATTCTAAACAATGAATTTTCATTGATGCAAGTCTGTTTCAGTATAAATAGGAGCTCTTGAAAAACAATTTAAAAAGTTTTAACTAATGAATACAGATACACTTTGGTTGGTATGACAATAGCTCTCTCGACAGTTCACCAAGCCTAAAATGGGGTGGGGGGGGGGCATGCACATTACAAGTGTAACAACTTCCTTGTTCATTCATGATTGTCTTCCTGGGTATGTGAGAACACAGAAATAATGTTTGAGTCCAGAAAGGGTTTTGTACATTGATAGCTTTAGTTTGAAAAAGCAGAGCCTGGAAGGATCTGTCATCATTTTCGCTGCTCCCAAAACAATGAAAAACAAATTGATGATTGGACTTGAAATAGATGCTATAAATATTTTCAACAATGGCAACAACAATTTTTATATGTAACCAGAAGTACAATCATGCAAGTGTAACGATATTTAGTGTCTTTTTTAGACAAAAAAATATCATGGACAGTTGCCATGTATGTTTAGTTGTAAATATAAATAGAAACAGGGTGAATAATTTTATCTGCAAGAAGGAAAACAAATCTTGTGATTATTTTAGAAAGTAACATGTGGAAAGAATTTGTTCAAGGAAGCCGTGTTGTAATGAATCTTTAAGAATTTTGAACAAAATATGAAAAGCTCTGAAATGTTGTCTATGCTAAACAATGAAGGTTCAAAAATGTTTTGATGGGGGTTCAGAATTTTCTAGGGGCCTGTAATATTTATTGACTGACAGGCCCTATGGGACAATGTTGCAAAAAGGGCTTTTGGTAATGTATACACACCAGACAAAGAATGGATACATGTGAGAATAATTACCGGTATAAAAAATAGATTCTGGAATTAACTACGAATCAAGTATCATAATTAATGAAATTGAATCAGAAAAAAAAAACTTTGATCATGATAACATTTTTTTTTCTTTTTAATGTTACATTTAATGTGTATAAGATACTTTTTTTTAATGAAAATGCTACCGGGGGTAGTCTAAATGCAACTTGTAACTTGTGTCAACATTCACTTTATTTTTAAAATGGATGTTCTTTATGAGTGCCTTTGACATCAGACATTTCCTTAGACATAGGAAAAACCCGTAGATCGACAAGTCTTATTTTAAAAACTTGCTGTGAGATTTTCTACATTGACCTTAGTCATTACCTTGATAAAATTTTGTTCATCTGCCACCTGTCTGGTGTTCCGTCTCGAGTTTCACAACGATACAGCTGAGCATTCTATGGATTCGCAACAGCTGAGAGAGTGACATCCCTTAACCAATCGGAATTAGAACTCTGCATTTCTGCTTGTACTTCAAACACATTTACTTTCTCTTCCATTTCATACAAAGAACCGATCTGCATTCCACACACTTCGTTCTAATTTCGCCATGTTTACACCATAGGGACTTGAGACAATCTTCGCAAAATCGGTTATATAGTATAACAGGGGAGAAGGGACATAACGAACCGCCATTAATTCCTCGGTGCCTCGCTTCAAACTCTAAAAACTCATTTTTTATTCAAAAAACCCATGGAAAAGTTTAGCCAGTCGAAAGGCAGAATGTTGTCCTTTATTGTCATATATTGATCATTTACCTTACTTCATTAAAACTTAGAAACAAATATTCTATATAATAACTTCGGAGAATTAGGTCGCCGTCGTTAACCCTACACCATTTTTTCCATGCTATTTTCGTGCATTACCTTAATTTTTCCGCACTTGTCATCTGTTGCACTCTATATTAGAGCAACGTTACAAAATATAATTGCATTTGGTCATCCTTACAATATTTGAGGGACCGTTGATCTTCCGTCTCGAGAGATCAGCTCCATTTTCACCTTTGATTAGCCTCCGAGTTCAATCGGGTCAACCATATTGAATGAAATCCGCACTGAATGACTACAGTTTAAACGATGAAAGACGATTGGATAATATTACTAGTTGTTTACGGAATCAAATATGGCTGATGGTTTACACTGTGACATTACGCCTTATGTATCCCGATCATTGGCTGGTGGAAGAGATAGATTTTCATTGGCTAGCATAAGGTCGTGAACTTTACACAAAGTTCATTCTTACGTGAACCACAATGGGATGACTTCATATCTTTGTACAGCGACCACCAGAATTTCGGATCGTAACAAAGATCTGATTTTAATCAGATTGTACAGCGACCATCAGAATTTCGGACCATTATAAAGATCTGATTTTAATCAGATTGAGGATTGTGGATGCAGGATTCATGATAGGATGGGATATAATTGTCAACTTTTAGGATAGAAGCATTGTAAGAAGGGTTATTTAAAATAATGTGTAAATAAATAATGTTCTGTTTAGTAGTATTTTAATTGGGAATTAAAATAGCATGATATTTGGATCACCCATTGTTAACAACTTTGTCCAATCATGTCACGATTTACCAGTAGGGTAGGTGTTCCCTCCGATTTTTGAAACGTGATGTAATACTTATTCAAAATCAGACCCTAATTAAAAGGGGGTAAACTTTTGTTTTTATCTTCAGGATATCTCTCCAATTTTACACTTGTTAGTTTTATTTTGTTTGTTTGTTTGTTTGTGTTTTTTTTTGTTTTGTTTTTTAAATATACAAATAATTAATTAAAGTTATGTTAGAAATTGTTTGATGTAGGGGCCTACCCTGAAATTCCCTAATGGAGACGTGTGTACAGTTGATAAGGATTATCAAGATAATCGTTTTCTTTCCAACCTTATTAAAGCGCAACAAGAGTTTTTCTTTTCTTTTCAAGATACAAGACCCAAGACATGGAGGATTCAATTTGCGAAGCTCATATCCCTAAATGCATATTGTGTGGGTGTGGGAATGACTTTTAATAATAGATGTAGTTTAGATATACATCCTTCCTTGTGTAAATCCTAATATTTTCTCCATTTATCCATGAAAGATATCGTAGGCTAAATGGGTGGATAATTTATAATGTTTATTGTCTTTTAAGAAAAATGTGATATTTCCCCCGTAATGCATAGTAATCACAAAGAAATATGACCCTATAAAACTATTGTTTCTACAAATGACCTGGCAAAGTATGGTGTGTATATCACGTAAGGTTCATGCCTTTTCATAAAATGTATTTTGAGAAGCACTGCAAATCGGGACTATAAGCACTGATGGAAATATAGTATGGCGAGATTCATTTGATATCGCTAATAAAGTCATTTTCACCTGAATCTGAAACTCTTGATCTGATCTAATGTGACTGAATTTTACAATTGACGAGAATCCCGTCATACATGTAATCATTAAAAATGTTCTTGCAGGATTAGGGGACAATAAAAATAATGTTTTTCCTGGATTAAAAAAAAAAACAACTAGATCTTCAATACTGGACTCAAAAACAAAAAAATTCAAAATCTACAATTGCATACTAGATAACACGAAGCAATAAGTTACAAGACTTGTTTTAAATTTTGTGTTTCTTTCTGCTCTTTTCATAATTAACTGCTGCTTTTACGCTTGCTCAACCACCAAACAAGACAACAAAATCTTAAATTTCGCATTCTTTGTTTTTGTCATTTTAACAAACATGCATTCTTATTTGCTTAATGTTTGAAGAATTAAGTATTTTTGTTTTAATTCTTACTGGTATCAAAATCAATACTTGGTGTCGATGACCTTTCTGACTCAGGTCCAGTAGTAATTTCTATGATAACATCCTCTTTATCACTCTGCTCTTCCGCTTTTGGTTCACCACTGATGTTTGTTTCTTGTATTCCTACTGTCTCTGAATAAAAATGTCTATTCATAATATATGGATAACGGCTTCATTTTTCAATTATTACACAAACCTGAGAAATCAAATCCTTAATCCCTAAGACAACGTATTGTAATGTTATTTTTTGTAATGTATAATAATAACCGAGTTGTTTAAATATTTTTTCAGGGTTTTAAATTTGATTATTGTTTTCATAATATACACATTAAATTGCTTCACCTTTTTATCATTACTTTTTTGTGTGAAAATATTGCAGGTTTCTACTGTCCTTATCCAAAACATCAAATTCACCATAAAATATTTTTTTCATTATCCAATTTGCTATACCTTTACTTTGTTCAAATTTCTTTTTGCTGATATTATGTATTAAAATCTATTATAACTTTTTTTTTGAAAGGGGGGGTGCTTTTTTGCATTTTTTTTTCTTCTTCGTCTGTATGCTGTCTTTTCTCTACATAAAACCACCTTTTTACATCGAATTTTCTCCATTCTCCACATGGTGTTCTTTGACTCAAGTTTCGACTGTGATCAATGCCAACAGTTTTCATTCAGTGAAAAAAAAGTGAGGTGGAACACTTTGAAGGGGGGGGGGATTAATGAGAAACAGAAATTTAATTTAAATGGCAAAATACCTTTGTTCAAAAGTATATCGATTAACATATTTATATTGTTTTTGTAATTGTATTGTTTATAAATCTATCTAAGATCGATCACTGTCCGTTACAGGTACCTTTTTCATTGATGTCATATATTGCTGATACATAGAGAACTTAATTAATTATTATCAAGTCATATTGAATATGATCCTATCAAACAAATATGTTTCTACACATAACGTGGGCCACGAAAAGATTCAGCAGTTAACCTAAAAATTGCTCGTTGTCTTTGAAGATATTCCAAATTTTACCCATTCGCACTAACAGACACATAGGTACATGTATCATAAGATTCTTTTGGTAACACTTAATCGTTTCCACTTGAACCTAGAAATCTAGATCTTGACTCATTTGACTGAATTTTCAACTAATGGGGATAACATAATATTCATGACGATTATTCTTACTGATTAGGTTTATTAAATAGAATGCGTTTTCATGGATAAATAAATAAAGCCAAGCCCGGTTCCTGGATTTTGGACCATGGACAAAAAATTAAAATTTCGGAAAAGGATTAATTAATTGCTCAGAACGAGTTGCATAACAGATGACACCGAGCAATCAGTTACAAGACTCTTTTTAAATTTAGTACTTCTTTTCATAATTAACTGCTGCCTTAACGCATACTAATACATCACAGAACAAAAAGACAAAAATTTAAAATCTTTCATTTCGTATCTTAGTCATTTGAACCAACAAGCACTCTTGTTTGTATAACGTTAGGAATTTTTTTTTGGCCTAGATTTTTACCAGTAACAGAATCAATACTTCTTATCGATGACCTCTCTGACTCAGATTCAGTTATGGTATCATTGACAACAGCCTCTTTATCACCATGCTCTCTCTTCTCCGGTTTGTTCCTGGTCTCTGTTTCTTGTATTTCTATTGTCCCTAAATAAAAATTGAATTCATAATATTTTTTTTGGAACGGCTTCATTTTTCAATTATTACACAAACCTGAAAAATTAGATTCTTGTGAACCACGACAATGAATTGGCATGTCATTTTTCCCTGGATAACAATTACCGAACTCTCTGCATTATATTTCAGGGTCGTAGATCTGAAAATTATTCTCATAATATAAACATTTAATTCCTACACCTTTTCACTCTATCGCTTGACAGCGTCGGACAACACACGTTCAGAAACAATAACGGAATCATTGAGAAAAATCTTAAATCGTTTCTTCATTTCTGTCTTGTTTGAACCTTGAGGTGATTTAAATGATTTTTAAAAAGTGAGTAGTTAGTGGATAATACATGATTTGTAGTTGAGTATCGAATTCGTTTTCCTAGTAGGACAAGATTTTTTTTATGTTTTCAAGAGTGCGAAGCACGAGTTAAAATATGAAAATAACCTTGTCTCATGAGTTATATAAATCCCGTATCCAAATATGAAGTATTACATTTTCTGTTTATTTGATTTTCTTTGAATTTCCCTCTGCCTCTCTCGTTTAGTTACACAGTGTCGAAGCCTCCAACGTCATAGGTTAGAGTTAGTTCAGTTGAAACATCATATCTTAGCGACTGTGAAATTGAAAACGAGTTCAACCACATATTTGAGTACTTTTTGCAGTTTAAGTCTCGGTTATGTTGGTTTACTTAACCCGCTCTTTATCTTATAACTGACCAGGGAGTTTTTATTTTCTTAAGAATATGCTTCGTGAAGTGAATGAAGGAAAATCGAAAGTTTTTTTGCACTTCTGTTATGCTTTCACACTGTTACACTTTTTTACAACTTCAAAAATGAACTTTATGTTTATCCTTTTCACAGCATATCTGTTATTAAGGCTATATCAATTTAAAATTAGACAATTGTTCAAATTTGCATAGAAATTTAGGCGGAAGGGCGGGTTTAATTATTATAACAAGGTTCTCCATCCCCCCCCGCCCCCCCCCCCCCCCAAATTTAACCGTGGCGCAACACTAACGTGGTGTTCATTTTCAAGGTCAGAATTTGCGAAGAAACCACAAAACAAATTGAAAAATACACAACACCTCTAAATCACTAGTTTTATACAGAAATGGTATTTCAATCATTTGCAATTCAACAAAAAAGATAACGATAAGCCAATCAATTGATATAGAGTAAAAATTAGAATGTTTCTAATATGAATAACCTGTGTTTAATGTGAATCTCCCTCCCTCGAACTACTTGCGAAATAATAAATAAACAAATGTTAGCTTATAGAATCTGAAAATAATAGTACCAGATGTAACGACTTTCTAAGTGTGCAACCCTGAATTCAAAAGAAAAAAAAAACTTTTATCTACATAGGTCCCAGTAAACCTAAGTATCTTAAAAAATGTTAATTAACATTTAAAAGCATATCTATTTAACAATTTAGAATCATAATATACCTTTTGATGGATGTTCTATAGTAACTTTTCAACTTCACCTTTATATGATTACGATACACGTACGATTTGTTTCACAGTTTCAATGCAATTTAAGAGACGTTGTTACGTTTAGTAAAGCTAGGCAATTAATTGCGCTAGCATTTAACATTTAATTTGTAAATACCGGAAATGCAAAACAAATTAAAAAAAAAAAACAAAAAAAAAAAAAACAAAAAAAAAAAAAAAAAAAAAAAACTAATCATTTTATTTTCATTTATGTAGTTTACGGGGACTGCATTGGAATAGTGCAAAAAGTATAGATAAAACTTCCCTGGTGATGGAAAAAAGCGGGAAAACCTTCCTATTGCCATTGTAACAAGTTCCTTTTAATTCTTAAAAAAAAAAAAATAAAGGTTAAATATGGTACATGTGTATATCTGGTGGGCGTATTTTTATATCCCTCTTTACAAATATAGAGGATAAATTGATTCTGCAAGCCAAACATTTGGTCCTTATTAGAGTATCTTAAATCTTTGTGTTAAAAAAGATACAATATTTAGAGATTCATTCTGGGATTTATAAATTAATATATCTATCTTTTTGTTCGATGAAGATTTAGAACTATTGCGCTGAATATTTAATTGTCGCGCTAAGGAATTTAGTTGTCAATGAGCCTCAACGTTTAACGGTCCATGGAGAATCCTTTTTATTGTTGAAAATCAACAAGAAGTTCTCCTTTTGCACAATCTCTAGATAGATTGCTATGTTTATTATTTGAAATATCTAAAAAAAAAATTCTTATACTTAAAAGTGCTAAAAACTCACTCACATATTGGTTACATGTATGCTAAACATAGATATTGCTTTGACGTAGTACACGAATTCCAATAATTTCTCATGCCCTTGCCGTGAATGGTTAACCTCATTTTTCTCATCTTAGTCCATTCTCTTATTACTTTTAGTGCGACCAAGTACTTCATTTCTTTTGTGTAAAAATATTACAGGTTTCCTTTGTCCTTACACGTAACATCTAATTGACCATATATTTCTTTTTCATTTTCTATTTTGCTATAAACCCATATTCATAAAATATCTTTAAAAGATTGTAGAGTTTCAAATTTAAATCTCTCATTATTTGTTTTTGCATTTTTATCTTATCTATACTGTCATATTATCTTTTCCGAATTTTTTTGTTGTCGATTTTTCTGCATTTTCCGCACGCAATTGTATTATGCATAATGCTAAGCAAATCTTAATACAAACGGTGGAAACTCCAAAACTTCTCTTACGTCTCAATTAGTGAAACATTCTTGAGTGTGACATAAAACAACATACACTCAATCAAATGACTGTATACCATGCCAACTGTTTTTGAATAAAATATAGAAATAAAACTTGGAAAAGGGGGCGATTTGATGGCTTCGGGTGGGGATGATAATTGAAAATATAATTTTACATGTATATGGAGGAATACCTTCGTTTATAAGTGTGTCTGTGGTTTCGAAATCAACCTGTTTCGACATCCGTTCCTCCGTATCGTTCTTCCTTGCCACTTTCTTATCTGAAATATGTAAATTATTAGTTAATGTATCAAACATATATTTTAGGAAATATGAAAAGTCATCAGTTATGAATTTTGTAATTGAAAATTTTTCAACAAGTATATTTAAGGATAAAAAAAAATGTATATATATCCAATCCTTTGTTTAAAAAAATTCTTTGTATTGCTATTAGTTCTCCAACTAACTTCAATTATACACAGTTTATTGCTTTAAAAAATTAAAAAAAAACAATCAATTTCAATCTTCATTCTGTGATTTTTTTTCAATGAAATAGTAACTTTTAAATTTTATAGCTCCTAATAGAGGGGAGGACAACTTTTTGAAATGTTCTTATTAAGGGATTTTCCATTATATAAACGATTTTTGACGTGTTCGGGAACTAGAAAGATTAATCAAAAAGACAAACCACATTTTATGAATCGTTAAATCCCATATCCAAACTATCATGTATATATAAATGTATAATGTATGAGATAATGTTAAGTGGAAAAGACAATGGGCACAGTCCTGAAGATCTCAATTATGAGAACGCACTCTTTTCTATTATATTTGTAGCTATGCCATGCCCCGGAAGTGACAGATAAAAGACCTGTCAGACAAGACATCAGATGAAAACGACCATTTAAGGAGGGGGTATTGTGGTATTGGCTGTGGCTATATATATTTTTCCTGTTACAAATTTATACATGCAATTTTAAAGCATCATTTAGCTAGGAGTGTAATCACCCAAAACCTGTCTTTACATTTTTCTATATGTATTAAACCTGCATTATTTCAGAATATGTGCAAAACACTATATATTTATCTGGTCAAGAATCAAACGTCTTTGACGTAACGATTTTTGTAACTGATATTGATATCGTATTGCCAAGTAACAGAATATTAGGAATTTAATCTTGTTAAACAGACCATTAAATATAATTCATCATTTGCAAAATCGTTCAAAACAGTATGACGAGGAAGAGAGAGATCTCCCTTGAAGAGTCAGTAATTACCATAAAACCATTGTGAACAAAATAGTCAAGTTCGGGAACATTTTAATCTGGAAGGTCAAAAATGGGAGCACATGATAGTAGTGGTTATTGATCATAACCAGGGATTGACAGATGCTCAGAGAAATAGCAATGAGAAGTTCTGGATGCAAATGTAGAACACAATCCGCCATATGAGAAATAGTTTTAACTTATATATATATATATATATATATATATATATATATATATATATATATATATATATATATATATATATATATATATATATATATATATATAATGACTTTACAAAGATCAACAAGCCCATTCTCTCTGAGGTGTGTAAAGTGAATCCACAGTATCTTTTGGGATATTTATCCCACTACTTACTCTTTGAGAATTTGAGAACTGATCATGTTGTATATCGAGAATTTGGCTAAGAGAAAGATAAATAAAAGGGGAGTTTAGAAGCAAATACCGTGAATGTTATGTGTTATTCATATGGCTCTAAGTTTGTTAAACAGTTATGCAGATTTATTTTCATCGATACTATCATTTTTTATGGAAGACAGTCAGCTATTTACGTTTCCCAGTCGGCCTTTCATCTGTCATTCGTGAAAAAAATAATGCAAAAGAACAACAATTATTCGGAAACTTCAGAATATGATATTTGTACAGATCGAACACTGTCGTTCTATAATACTTGAAAAGTGCTGCTAGAATCGTGAGGTAAACATGGTTGGAACAAAAACCTTAGGTTATATGTATATATAATCCAAAACATCGGGTAATGTTTCGTGTTAATGTGTACAATAGTTATTTTCTCGACCGAACAGTATGATTCTAGCAGTACTTTTTAGGCATACGCTATTTTGTCAGCTACATTATTTACTAAAAGAAACAATTAACCCCAGGGTAGTGTTGTTCTGTTAGTCAATGAAAAAAACACCGAGTGTCAGTTTATATCGCCAGTCAATAGATAGAAACACCAAAACATGTGAAACAGTTTTTGTATTCAAGACTATATAAAGTATTAAGCAACTTATCTGAAGAAGCTTTGGCAGTTTTAGTCTTCGCCAGGATGATTTATTTTCACCTATTACAGGTCGGGAAGTGTTCATTTCTTCCAACACTCTTCCCGAAGGGAAGAAGAGAAATCGGGAGATAAGTGTTGTAAATGTAATAAATATATATACAAATACATACATGTATATATGTATTCATTAGTTAACCTACATGTTATTTTGCTCCAAGGAAAAGTGATCCCTTTCAAGTAGAAAAGATAGAAAAGTATTGCAATAAACACAAATACGATCACCGCGATGACTACTCCAGCAATTATATGTGCGGTTTCAATCCCTGACTGAACGTCCTGATGCCTAAAAATAAATTTCAAAGTAGACATAATTATAATCCTGGCGTAAGAATTTGATTTAAACATACGACATAAAACAACAGAGTGCATAAATTCACCTACGTTTCGTTTGGACAGTTTACATTTGCTAAATAGCAACGTTTCTGTGGATTTATTTCCAAGCAGGCTGGATCTGAAACAATAATGCATTCGAGTTGTGTAATACAGGTTTTATTTGTACAGCCCTTCATCATTTATCTTTCTATTCCATCCATAAAAAGGGAAGGTCTTACATTTGTATACTTCATTGGTATTGTACGATTCCTTTGGACAGCCTTTGAGAAAAGTTGAGCAGTTGATAGCGTCTAGGTGGCCTGAAGATACTGCATAAGGGCATATATCTAAAAATGAAAAACAAGAGCATTAAATACTAAAAATGAGTTAATACCACCCTTAATTAAGACTTCCACAGCAATTCTTTGAAAATCTGATTTTGAAGTACTGTAGATCGAGTTCAGAAAGAAGACAGAGTTAGGTAATTATTTCTGTTTGTGTGTTATTCTAAAAAATAAAACTAAAAGTACTACTACACAAAAATGCCAATTATTTGATGTTTAACGTGCATTTTCAATATTTTTACAAATTCATTGAACCTTTTAACACGGAAGCACCCCCCCCCCCAAAAAAAAAAGATCAATGCCCGTTAATGGTCAATCGATTTCATAATACTGTTAATAATGCAGTCGAACTTAACGAATTAAATGTTGAATCCCAAATAAACAAATATTCATTTGATTTCGGTTGTAGAAGCATAATTTATACAATACAGGTCTTTCAGAATTACAGAAAAGGGTGATTGTCCCATTTTATATGTAAATGTAGTGCATTTACTTGGTAGACAGAGATACCGATAGTAAATATAAACAGTCATGTGGTGACTCACTCCCCATTTTACAAAATCCTATATCCTCCTATGATCGGGATCGGCTAAAGACTTTGACTGCTTGTTTTTTTTTTTGTTTTTTTTTAATTTGATTTTATTTCATTTTTGAATTAGTCTGCATGAATTCCATAAACATGAACTTAGATGGTTAAATTTTGAGGATTTTTTGGCTGTGTTTTACTTGACAAATTAGTGCAAAAATTATTATCTAAGCTCCAAAACCTGTGGAACGGAAAAAAAAAATACTATAAGGACCTAATGGCTATGCTAGCCGAATACACCATAAAGACAAACGCTGAAAATCTTTTTTCTTTTACAAAATCAATTTGCTTCTGCTTTAAAGCATTATCCTGAAAAAAAAATTTGAAAGATAAACTTGTCGATTGCATTATCTCAGATAATTATGTCAGAGGTTAGAAGGCCCTGACTGTTGATAAGAGGTACATGTACACTGAGCTCTTAGTAAACATCAGTTAGAGAGCATTAAGTGTTTAGAGGATAGGCTAAACGCATAAATTCAAATATAAACATGTATTATTTCTTCCAAGGTTCATTTGTACCGACTTGTTAAGGTATAGTATAAAAGTTATCAAATTGAACATATAATTTCATCAGGATATTTTTCAACAAAGAATTCTGACTCACTTGCTGCATATTTTCCAATACTACCCTGAAGACAGAATTCCACAAGTGAAGATCTGTCATCATTAGGTACACACTGGTAGAGGTTCCTTCCTAGTGTATCATTTGGGCAGTATAACTTATTACCATTGCTAAGCCAAGAGTAAGCATCCTTAGGACAAGCCGTCACAGATCTGAACTTCACATCCATATTTCGTCTACAAGAATTAAAATTAATCACTAGTATAATATATGAAATCAATTGAAAGCAGTAGAGGAAATTAGCGAACTAATTTGAAATGGTTTCAATGATTTGCTATATTTATTTCATTTAGCAGATTCTTTTTAATTCTCGGTGAAATAACAATGAACAAATAATGTCTATTTTTACAGGTCAGATGTGATATTATTGACAAGACAGAAGGATACAGGAGCGATTTTTGGTGGGTATTTTGATACCTAAAGATAACAATTGTATACACACGCAGAATTTTTAATATCTCCCAAAAGTCAAGATTGTTTATTGAATAGCATGTCTACAAAAATGTATTTTTTTTTTGAAAATATCGTGGATAGGTCTCAAAGACAAAATAAGATAAACAAAATTTTATCTTGGTTTTATATGGAACCAGCTAAGTGTCCGAAATGTATTCTTTGATTTTGCACTGGTTGCGTCTATTTTTGTAGCACCCCATATTGCACTTTAGCCAACATATTATCGGAAACATGTGGACGTGTTGGGATAAAAATGACATATTCAAACTTAGTCGTTAAATGTAAACACACCTAATGAGGACAGAATTTCCATACAGTGCAGGGTCTAACAATTTCATTTAAACCATTTTTTGCATTTATATATATATATATATATATATATATATATATATATATATATATATATATATATATATTTATCAAAACCTCTTTCTAAACTTTGGTTTTCTAAAACAAATACGAAAAAAATTATGCCGTACTTCCCAAGAAGAACGAGTCCTACAAAAGAATTTAAAACCTTTTTATTATAAAAGAAGAAATGCCTGTAAAATCTCTTTTTAAACGGTTTACAAGTTATTTTTTTTTTTTTTTTTTTTTACAATTTAACGTCTAATAGTCATTTTACTGTATAAATACTCCAAAGTAATTCAACGAAGGTAATGCTTCTATTTCTGAGATTTTGATTCCTTAAAAAATGACTAGTTAAAGGAAATATACATTATGTATAATTTAAAGTAATTTCAAGAAAGTCAGATTCATGCCGAGACTGTCTGACAACGTATTTGATTATTTGGGAGATTTTACTACTTGCTCATAAGAGCTAAGGGAAATTAACATCTTCAGGAAAAGTAACATGTTTTTAATATTGGAGTATAATGTATGTTGATCAGGCGGATTTCAGTGTCATTAAAAAGTTTATTTTTCACCGAGATTAAAATGACCCTAAATCTATTTTGTTGTTGATAATAAGTTTGGTCTGCCTCAAAGATTGTAAGTCTTATTGACCTAGTTGAAAACGAACATTTCCAAAATAAAATTATAGTAAATAATTCATAAAAACAATAGATATATAACACACAAAGTTTAAGGTTCTTCCTCTCGTAATTGGCTAGATATAGGCACTGTCTTCCATCTCAGGATAGTCTAAAATATGATTAAACGTGCAGTTACATACATGTAATATAAGAAGGTACGCTTATATATATAAGAAGATGCTGACTTTTCAATGAAAGGTAACAAAGATGACCTATATACAGAAGGTGTAGTACCTAGCCAAATCGAATATATAGACTAAAATCTTGTTGAAGGTGATAAAAGGTGTTGAACTCTCTTTAGTTTCACCTTATAAGAAAGGTGAGTAGTGATGCTGAATATGATACAGAAGGTGACGATGAAGTTCCTACTTAGATATTCTAAATACATCTTGAAGAGAATCCATGTCTAGATCTATAAACCTAATGTGTAAGCTAAAAAAAATGATAAGCTTTTAAGCCAGGTTGTCTTGCTGAAAAATAGTTGTCTATAGTATCCAAAGTGTCGATTTCTGGTGTGAACCAGTCTGATGTTATGTTATATCACGTTAAGAACTCATCTCTACTCATAAGCAAAGAACAAGAAGGAATCCACATGGAAAAAAAAATCTAAGTACCTTCCCTAACGGCCAAATCACCACAAGATAGACTTGATTTCTTTATTTGCAAGCACTTGTGTGATAGTCAAGTATGTAAAGAAAAAGGATGCATAACCAAAAACAAAAATGATAAACATTTGAAACAATTTATACTGGATTTATTTTCACTATATTTGTCTCAATTGCAAATGCACTCATAGGATGTAAATAACGACAAAGTTGGTTCTATTTTTGCAATCCAATCAAATATTATAAATGTGTGGGTTTTTTTTTTCTCTTGAATCTGTTCCCCTATGTTAAACAAAGTGCGCAGCCTTGAACATACATTTTTTGTCAATAATTTTTTATTGGAGAGGTACATGTACATCTTTGGTGAGGATATATTGTTCAATATTTCTGTAAAAAAAATAATGATTTGAAAATAAATTGTTTCTTTTGTTTAATTATTATTATTATTATTATCATTATTGGTTTTCTTTTTTTCTCTATAAGAAAAAAAATATTCATTTAATATGTGATTTGGATGCTGCGATATGGAATTATAAATTATTTACAGAATTAAAAAAAATGCATTATATATTTTAAATGGGCGAAATTGTGCAAAATATGCTATTTATTAATACATATTAGTTGCTCTCTTTAAGACCTATATCATTTAATACTCTAATACTGCCAAAATATATTCACTTCAAAATTGAAGTGCAGCAAAGGTTATAAACATTTTCTACATGGATGATTTGATATTACGAGAACTCATTGTTTCCTAATATATACCACGATTGTTCGTTGAAGAAATTTAGAACCAATTTTCTAAAATAGACATTAAATTTAAGGCCGGTTTTGAAAATGCATGTGAAGTTCATTATGCATCTTACATGGTTTATTTTATTAAAATTAGCCTACGCTTATAATATCCATGTAAATTTTCAAGGAGACGACATGTTTCATATATTTTTCTTTACCCCTGTAATGGGAACCTTACAGAATCAAGTTTTTCTTGTGTTGACATAAAAAAAGACACTATTAAATATATACTTACTGCTTGTTCGGGCTATCATAACCCATTGGGAGACTGGCCAACCTGATAAGGGCGGAGGACATTCCTGTTGTCCTGACAAGAAGTATCTAGTGATATTTTTTTGAAAACATTCGTTTTGTGTGTGTGTGTGTGTGTGTGTGTGTGTGTGTGCAGCCGACCAAATCGTCATGAAAACTATGAATGATTCGTTCAAACGATTTCTATATAGAAGACTCCAATTAAATCAAACGCCTTTGCACAACATTACAATTTTTAAAACGAAAGTAGATTTAACACTTCATTATTCAAAGGTAATATGTAAATAAATATTAATTCAGTTTTAATTATGCTTCATATAATTTTACCTCCAAGATTATCCTGGATCCATTAATAAAGAATATTTTTTGATGTTCTTCATGAAACAAAGACGGAATTCATAGTTCCTTTATAATCAATGTTATGATTTAAATATCCGGGTTATCTGTGTATTTATGTTGTGCTGTTAGTGTCATAAATATCTTCAACATTATCGTTTGTCAAGTAGTGCTTCCTTCATAGCAGCTGAAAATATATTTTCTTCTTAAATTTCTGACACAGTAAATAAAATATAGAGTTTCAACTTTGTTGAACTGAACAAAAATGTTTTCAGTTAATTTATCTGAACACTTGTCGTCCTCAATCTGACTGCCTGTTTATTTGCCCATCTGTAAACTTTTTAACATTTTTGATACTTCTTCTGCAGAACCGTTGAGCGATTTTCATTTGATCTTGGCATAAAGTATACTTAGACGAAAATTGCCCTTTAATGTTCTAATACTTTGAAATTTATATAGTAATTGGATGTTTTAATCAAAGAGAACATCAAGATATGTATTGCCATTTACCTTAGCTATGTTTTGGTGTAACTGTACGCTTCGAAGCATATACAGTTAAGGGTGCAATAAGGAGGCGGGATCTAATTTATACGGGAAATGATTACTATGGCATCACATTAAAATATACGTTCTTCAAATTACCACAAAATGAACTTATTTGCTATTTTAAACGGTTGGATATCTTTAAACTACATCAATACTTACTATGGCATGTATTTTTTTTTTTATGGTTAAATCTCACACGGCAATATGTAAACAATTCACTGATCGCAATGCACTTCTCAACGTGACGTCATATCGTAAAATTTGACACAGACTGTATGCAGTGAGAGGCGGATCAGCTTATTTTTTGTACAATGTATTTTGTAATTAAATAAAATATTATTTGCAGATATATAAGAGGCTATTAACATGGATGCGATGTCTATTTTATGATTTGGTTCATATACTTCCCGTACATTCCCTAGACAAACGATACTGCCATATATTTGTATTTAGATTCATTGATGGGTAATGAAAGGGTCATAATAAATCGAAATCTTGCAAGGGCATGTATGTACCCTCAATGCATTATGATAAGCTTTTACACATAAACTCAAGAGGTATGAAGACATTTGAAAAGTGCTGCTAACATGATGAAATCTTGCAAATGAAGTATATTTATTTAAATGAATAATTATGTAATTATATCTACATTTAATGTACTTGACCAGCAAAATATTGAACATACGGTCTAACAAATGTAATTTTAGCAATAAGATAGTAGAATCTATATAGGTTCGCAGCAATTTTCAAAAACTACAAAGAGTGTTGAAAATAATTATAAATTAAACTTAGATTTTTTAAATTGGTTATGCCCTTGCAATATTGGAATTTATAGATGATCTCAATACTGCAGGTATATGTGCTAATATCGCCTGACCGCCATATTACGTGACAAGTATAAATACGAAATGTAATCGTCCTCAACATGTAGTTTTCAACCACATTACATCTGTCCGATAATAGTAAAGTCCTAAAAAGAATCGCCAATCCTTGTAAAGAATGTATTTTCTATGTAAAAAAAATCACCTATATTTCCATTTGGCACCTTAATTGTATTGCGTAGAACATTCAACGATGACATCATCAAATGAATATGACGATTTTACCAATGGTTTTAT